GGGCGTTACCTCCTCAATACCCAACGTCAACAGCCGCAGAGAGGATCGCACATTTTGCGCAAAAATGACGAGGAGGAGGGTGAGTGAGGAGGCAGGAGGAGGATGAGGAGACAGGAACGTGGCTGTGATCTCTATTTCTGCGACACGACCACCTGGTTTATTAATAGGGCTCCCCGGCGCACGTTTGTAACGCGTCACTGGCGCTCCGCACGGGATTTGCCACCACCCCCCCCACCACCACCCCCACCACACACGGGCGGGGGCCAAGGTGCGCGTGCGTGCGTGCGCACGCGTGAGCGAGCGAGCCGTCTTAAAGTGCAACCGGCTCCCATTCGCACTCCGCTAATGAGCCAAGCGCACGAGGCGCTTGCAGCGGAGGTCGCCGAGTTTGTGAGAGAAGAAGCAGCGCGCGTGTGTGTGTGTGGTTGAGCGTGTGTGTGTGGTTGGTTGTGTGTGGTTGAGCGTGTGTGTGTGGTGGTGGTGTGTGGTTGAGCGTGTGTGTGTGTGTGTGGCTGAACGTGTGTGTGTGTGGTAGAACGTGTGTGTGTGTGTGTGGTTGAACGTGTGCGTGTGGTTGGGTGTGTGTGTGTGGTAGAACGTGTGTGCGTGGTTGAACGTGTGTGTGTGGTTGAACGTGTGTGTGTGTAAGTGGTTGAACGTGTGTGTGTGTGGTTTGAACGTGTGTGTGTGTGGTTGAACGTGTGTGTGTGGTGGAACGTGTGTGTGTGCGTGGTTGAACGTGTGTGTGTGCGTGGTTGAACGTGTGTGTGTGTGGTTGAACGTGTGTGTGCGTGGTTGAACGTGTGTGTGTGTGGTGGAACGTGTGTGTGTGTGCGTGGTTGAACGTGTGTGTGTGTGGTTGAACGTGTGTGTGTGTGGTTTGAAACGTGTGTGTGCGTGGTTTGAACGTGTGTGTGCGTGGTTGAACGTGTGTGTGCGTGGTTGAACGTGTGTGTGTGGTTGAACGTGTGTGTGCGTGGTTGAACGTGTGTGTGCGTGGTTGAACGTGTGTGTGCGTGGTTGAACGTGTGTGTGGTGGAACGTGTGTGTGTGTGGTTGAACGTGTGTGTGCGTGGTTGAACGTGTGTGTGTGTGGTTGAACGTGTGTGTGGTGGAACGTGTGTGTGTGTGGTTGACGTGTGTGTATGTGGTTGAACGTGTGTGGTTGAACGTGTGTGTGTGTGTGGCTGAACGTGTGTGTGTGGCTGAACGTGTGTGTGTGTGGTTGAACGTGTGTGTGTGTGGCTGAACGTGTGTGTGTGGTTGAACGTGTGTGTGTGTGTGTGATTGAACGTGTGTGTGTGTGGTTGAACGTGTGTGTGTGTGGTTGACGTGTGTGTGTGTGATTGAACGTGTGTGTGTGTGTGTGGTTGAACGTGTGTGTGTGTGTGTGGTTGAACGTATGTGTGTGTGGTTTAAACGTGTGTGTGTGTGGTTGACGTGTGTGTGATTGAACGTGTGTGTGTGTGGGTGTGGTTCAACGTGTGTGTGTGTGTGTGGCTAAACGTGTGTGTGTGTGTGTGTGGCTGAACGTGTGTGTGTGGTTGACGTGTGTGTGTGTGGTTGACGTGTGTGTGTGTGGTTAACGTGTGTGTGTGTGGGTGTGTGTGTGTGTGTGTGATTGAACGTGTGTGTGTGGTTGAACGTGTGTGTGTGTGGTTTAACGTGTGTGTGTGGTTGAACGTGTGTGTGTGTGTGTGGCTGACGTGTGTGTGTGTGGTTAAACGTGTATGTGTGTGTGTGGCTGAACGTGTGTGTGTGTGTGTGGTTGAACATGTGTGTGTGTGGTTCAACGTGTGTGTGTGTGTGTGCGTGTGTGTGGCTGAACGTGTATGTGTGTGTGTGGTTAAACGTGTGTGTGTGTGGCTGAACGTGTGTGTGTGTGGTTCAACGTGTGTGTGTGTGGCTGAACGTGTGTGTGTGGTTGACGTGTGTGTGTGTGGTTCAACATGTGTGTGTGTGTGTGGGGAGCGGTCTTGAGCCTCCACTAGGCCAAGGGATCTGCAACGTACAGCTCGCGAGCCGCCCCGTGGCTCGTCACGTGACAGCTTCGTGACGTCATTCATGAAGGCCCATCACCATCACGGACTCGCCACGCGGTGCCCATTAGCGGTGAATAAGTTTCGTGTTTTTTTCTTTAACCGAATTCAAAAAAATTAAACCGTAAAAACAAAGTTTTTCACTATAAATCCTTTATATGCGTGGCGGCTAGAGTCCTCTCGTCCTCTGGCTTGAGATGGCTGCCACCTATGGGTCAGATGATTGTCTGCCACCATTAAGCAATTGGTAATAAAATATTTTAAAAATATTCCCTAAACAGTGTAAAATTTTGGAAAAATTTTTTTACGAACATTAATTGTCTCGCACAACGAGTCTGTGTGCAAAATGTCAGCTCGATTGGATCACGGGAAGTGGGTTAAAAAACGACCGAAAGATTTGCACGGTCGTAAGCAAGCAAGCGAACTTAATATAAAGGATTTAAAAAGGTGGCCTATTCCTGTTATTTTCGTTTGCCCACCGCCTGCGCTAGGCCGACTCAAGCCTATGGGGGGAGCGGTGGCGCAGGTAACAGCACACTGCACTCCGAACCTGGAGGCCTGAGTTAGATTCCTGGCCGCGGCTAAACGTCAGCTGCGAGCGATTAGAAGCGGACCCTGAGCCTTGAGTCGAGTCTGGAATGAGCGCCTGGCGCTGTGACCATGTTAACCCCCCTTCGTGCGCCGTGCCGGTCTTAATAGGTGCTCACCAACAACGCTTATGTGAGTTGCCTGTGGAAGGCTATGCGGGGATATCTTTCGGCATTGTGTGCGGTACAGAGTACGTGCGGGTGTTAGTGTGCGATTGAAGTTACGCATGTGGTTAAGCAAGTGGTTGAGTGCGTGTGCGTGTGTAAATATGTGCGTGCAGTTGTATATATGGGGAGCGGGAGTGCAACGGTTAGCGCGCTGCGCTACGAACCCAGAGAACCAAGCTTGATTCCTCCTCATCAGTGACAATTATCTGAACCGGTGAAGAGGTGCGTGAGTGAGCGAGCGACCAGGTGAGTGGACGGGTGACTGTGTGTGAGTGAACAGGTGAGCGGGTGAGTGCGGGAACAGGCGAGTGGGTAAGTGGAGTGGTTTGTGTGAGTTTGACGTGATGAGTAGCTGAGTGAGCGGGTTGGTGAGTGGGTGGGTGAATTGAGAGAGGTTCAGCAGAGTGTGCAAGTCGTGACGAAACATTCAGCGTCCATATTCTTAGGTTTTTTCGGTAAAGTCACCGTGTAGGTAAAACATTAAAATTAATAAAAGTAAAATAAAATAAAAATAATGACGTTTCGGAGTCAACACAAGCTGTCGTGGCTGTGACGGTTCCACCTGAAGACGGAAGCTTGTGTTGCCTCCGAAACGTCGTGATTTTTATTTTATTTTACTTTTATTAATTTTAATGTTTTACCTACACGGTGACTTTACCGAAAAAACCTAAGAATATGAATCCTTGCAGTCACGAAAGCTTCAAATCTAGAATAAGTCAGCGTCCAGACCGCCCGAGCCCTCGACAAAGCTGAAGGCATTAACGAGAGCCAATTTCACGGTGGCGGTAACCGCGAGAGTAGCAACACTAGCGGGACAGGGAGATGACTGACCACCGGCGACATGAGTGACTGGAGTGGGGCGGTTATATTTCTCGGCTGCGTGAGCCCGAATGCGGTGAACGTGGGGGAGCAATTGATCCGCTCGCGGGCGAACCGAGGCGGAGACCCCCTCGCCGGGTACCGCTCCCGCCCTCCCGCCGGACAAAAAAGCAATCAAACCCAACGGCCCCCCACAACGCCGCCGTGCGGGGGGGGGAAGAGAGAGAGGAGAAGAGGGAGGAAGAAAGAAAAAAAAAAAAAAGGGCGCGGAAAATAACGAGCGCAAACTTTCGCCCCGTCGTCGACAAAAAACAAAAAAAATCCAATTAGCGGCGGCGGCGGCGGCAAACGCGATCAACGTGACGACCGGCCCCGGCGCCCACCGTAAATGATCGCGCGCTGACTCACCGCCACCGTCACCGCCGCCGCCACCGCCTAACAAGCAGGTGTCGTGCGCACGCCTAACGAGGCGTCGCTCGTTTGCGCCTAATGAACTCGCGCGTTTAACACCGCAGGCCCCGCCTCCCCACGTGCCGTGCCGTGCCGAGCGCTTCGCCAAACGGCACCGGTGGGGAGAAGGGGGTGGGTGGGGCAGGCAAATGGTGGGCAACAGAAGTTGGGGGGGGTTGAGGGGTGGGTGGGGTGGAACAGGAGAAATGGGGGGCAGGTAAGCGGAGGGGGAGGGGGGCACAGAAGGGAGGAGTGGGGGGGGGGCAGGAAAAAGGGAGACGGGGGGAGAGGGAGAAGGGGAGATGAGGGGGGAGCAGGCAAGGGGGTGGGGGGGGGGGGGTACAGCAGGGGATGGTTCAGGAGACAGGGAGGCAGAAGGGGGTGAAGAAAAGTGGGAGGGGGGGGAGGACGGGGGGGCGGGGGGAGAGGGCGAGGGGGGGTGTAGCGGAGAAGGGCGACGCACAGAGGTCGCAAACGGGTTTTGATTCCTTACCCGTACCCGGCCGCACCAGGGTCGCAATCGGGTACCCGATACCCGTACCCTACCCGATACCCGGCTACCCGTACCCGGCCGGGTATCGGGTAGGGTACGAGTACCCTATTGCGACCTCTGGGATGAAGCCATGTTGCAGGCGCGGGTGGGTTGATTCTAGGAACTTGAATTGTGAGAAGAGACAAGACGTTGGGAAATGAGTGACAAACGGTGACTCACCAGTGACTCACGGTCTACCCGTACCCGTACCCGGCCGCACACGGGTCGCAAATGGGTATCGGGTACCCGATTGCGACCTCTGGCGACGGAAGATTGGGGGAGGCGTGCCCAGGGAGGGAGGGAGGGAGGGAGGGACAAGTAGGGGGATGGACAGGCGAGCGAACGGGCAGGCGAGCGGGGCGGTGGTGAGTGGGGCGGTAGTGAGCGGGGCGGCGGTGAGCGCACCTTGTCGACGGTGCGGTGGTCGTCGCAGAGCAGGCACACGCGGGCCTGGTCGCGCTCCCGCTGGTGGCTCCTCAGCGCCATCTCCTTGAGCTGCGAGTCCACGTGCAGCAGCTCCTGGCGGACCGAGCGGCGCTCCTCCAGCACGCCGCCGAGCAGCGAGCGCAGCCTGCGCACGCGTCGTCAAAAGATCAATGTTGAGAGACGGAGACGGGGGCAAAGGTCGCGAGGCCAAGTCGACCTAAGCGGAGGAGGGCAGCCGTGAACCACTGCACTTCCGCTCCACGCACAGTCGCACACACGCAGTTAGACGACAACAACAACAACCGCCGTTCGCCACCAAGTGGCGGTGACGCCGCCACGGCGCTTGTGCCAGGCTAGGTGCACGTGAAGTGTCGAACTCCTGCTGGCAGGAGGTCACGGGGCAGACCCAGCAGGTGCCACGGGTCGACTGAGATGGCTGGGCCGATGCACCACCTGTGCCCCCCTACTGTGCTTTATCCACCCGGCCCTCCGCTCGTTGTTGTGAGTATCCCTCCTCCGCCCTCAGTTGTTGTTGGAGGGTGACTGCCTCCAACTACCCAGTAGCGTCCTTCACGAGCCTCCTCCACAGAGGCCGATCTTGACACCGCTGGTAACAGTCATCGGCAAGTCCACTCAGCTCCACGTCCTCCTGTACCACATCACTCCATCTCTTCTCTAGCCCGTGCCGCGCCCGTTTAGCCCCCTCGATCCGGCCGAACAGAAGCTGTTTAGGCATGCGGTGGCTGGGCATGCGGGCTACATGACCCAGCCACCGCAGCCTTGCCTGCCGGAGGAGCTCACCGATGGGACTTTGTCGAGATCTTTCAAGGATTTGTGAGCTCCTCACACAATCCAGCCTGGTTAAACCCAGGATTGATCGTAGGCAGGCCAGCCTAAATGTTTCCAACCGGTGAAGATGTTCCATGAGAGGGGGAGTCCACGTTTCGCAGTCACACACATACAAAAAAAACAAAGACACCCCGTGTAGCCTTAACAGACTGTAGGGGCAAGTGCTGTTAGCGAGCACCTATGAAGGCCAGCACGGTACACGAGGGGGTGGGTGGGCCAGCACCACGCCCGACCGCCTTTGTCTCCCTAGCGGCGATGTTTACACACCGCACCAGGTACTCATTTCAGGCTGAGTCGACCTAGGGGAGGCCCAGGACCGGTTCAGATAATCGTCACCGGTGTTGGCCGTGAGCGGGAATCGAACCCGGGCCGCCGGGTTCGTGGCGCGGCCTAGCGCTAACTGCTACACTACCGCTCCCCATACACGTATGGACAGACACACACACACATACCAACAGACACACACATACATACGTGTGTGTCTGTATGGACAGACATACACAAACACACACACGTGTGGATACCTGCGGCACGTACACGTAAAAATACGCAGAGGCAGCTGTCAGCCACTTAGGGGAACTGATTTGCAGCATAAATACATTTGTTGTTGGAACCTTTTAAAAGTCAAGGTCAATAAATAAAATACACAACACATACCGGCTCAGAGTGACGACGGTGATGACGATATATGTTTTTAAATCACACAAGGCCGAGACGCTTTTCTGACGGAAAAATAATGAAAGCCAACGGGAGCCGAAATGACTGAGATCGCACAAAACGCACAAAAGGCACGGGTGGAATAACTCCAGCGGGGAGAGCAGACACAGGGAGAGCGGAGGGACAGGGAGAGCGGAGACACAGAGAGAGCGGAGGGACAGGGAGGGCAGAGACACAGAGAGAGCGGAGGGACAGGGAGGGCAGAGACACAGAGAGAGCGGAGGGACAGGGAGAGCGGAGGGACAGGGAGGGCAGAGACACAGAGAGAGCGGAGGGACAGGGAGAGCGGAGGGACAGGGAGAGCGGTGACGCAGGGAGTACAGACGCAGGTTACGCGGTGGTGCCGTGCGCCGTTCGGCAGCGCGTCACGACGTCGCGCTCCACCGTGCGGAGAAGGAAGAGGCCGCCGCAGCGACCGAGACGCCGGCAAGGGGGAGCGGGACGTCGGACATCGGTTACCCCCGGCTGACGCGTCGCGAAACCACGCCGGGCAACGCGCAACCCGAGCCTACCCATCGGGCGGGCCAAAAGGGGCTCTCCGACCGTCAAAGGGGGTGCTTTCGATTTAAAGCTTCTTTCGTGACTGCAGGGATTCATCTTCTTGTTTCTTTCGGTAAAGTCACGTAGAAGGGAAATAATAAAATAATAAAAATAAAACATTATAACATTTCGATTTAAAGCTTTCGTGACTGCAGGGATTCATCTTCTTGGTTCTTTCGGTAAAGTCACGTAGAAGGGAAGTAATAAAATAATAAAAATAAAACATAATAAAATTATTCTCAGGTCTGTCGAGAAGACAGTCTGTTCTCCACCTGAGGACGGCTGCTTGCGTTGTGGCCGAAACGGCGTGAGAATAATTCAATGTTTTATTTTTATTATTTTATTATTTCCCTTCTACGTGACTTTACCGAAAGAAACAAGAAGATGAAAGGGGGAACTCTTCTCAACGGGCGCGAGGGCACGCGGGCGGGGGGCGAGGTGGAATCGCCGGTGGACACAACGTGAGCCCTCTCAACGGCGTGGGTTAAGTCCTCCGGTAATTGGGGGCAAACCCTGCGTTTAGCACGGGCCGTCGCGGGCGGGCAGGCGGACGCGGCCGGGTTCGAGAGCCCAACGCCGCCACTTCCCCTGAAGCCAATTTCCGAGCGCTAATCGGATTACGGTGCCCGCTCACGGCCAAGCAAACGGGCGGTGGCGGCGGCAGGCCGCGTGCAAGTTGATTTCGTTTTTTCGGAAGCACTCTCCCCGGCTTCCTGTAAACACGACGAGGGCAAAGCGGCGCTCGCGGCGGCGGCGGCGGCCGAGAGGGAGAGCGGGAGAGCGACGGCAACCCTAAACCCTAAAAACCCGCGGGGAACGTTTACGGTGATGGGGAGAGGGAAGTGGGGGGGGGGGGGGCGGTAAGTCGGCTCATTTCCTGGGTCGCCGTGGGTTAACGCGTCAGCGTATTAAACGCTGCACGCGCGCGGACGCACGCAAGCCCAGAGGCTCGCGCGCAGAGAAGTAATCCCCTTCCAGAGTGCTACAGGTTCGGAGGGCGTCGGGATCCCACTTAGCGGCCGTCGCGATTCCGGGGGTTAAGGATCCGCGTGGGGTCGGCGGGCTTTGCCGGGCCGGTCACATCGCGGGACCGCGTAGACGAAATTCACGTAAGCCGTCGTGGTTTACGTGTCGCGCTGAACGTACTTGAAGAATCCCTGAGGCACGTGCCTGTGTTTACGTCTAGCAGTGTAACGTACGCAACTGCATCGCAGGAGCTCTGCGCTATCCCCCAACAACGGAGGTGCGTTTATTCGGTTGACGTAGCCAACTCAAGTAAAAAACGACACGCGTGCGATTGCGCGCGCGCGAGGAAAGGGGTCAACACTCCCCACCGCGTCCAGGTGGGACGGACGGAAGACTGATCCCAAAGCGTTGCAGCTCCCACTTTCACCGGGCGGGAACGGCACGGCACCTCGTACTCGACGACTTCGGCGGGGACTTGCGGTGGCGTCCGTGCGATGATCCACCGCCAACCCACGCTGCATCCCTCCGCCACGGCGCTGGATCGCAGGCAGAGGTCGCAAACGGGTTTTGATTCCTTACCCGTACCCGGCCGCACCAGGGTCGCAAACGGGTACCCGTACCCGATACCCGGCTACCCGTACCCGGCCGGGTGTCGGGTAGGGTATGGGTATCGGGTACCCGATCGCGACCTCTGGGATGAAGCCATGTTGCAGGCGCGGGTGGGTTGATTCTAGGAACTTGAATTGTGAGAAGAGACACAAGACGTTGGGAAATGAGTGACAAACGGTGACTCACCAGTGACTCACGGCCTACCCGTACCCGGCCGCACCAGGGTCGCAAACGGGTACCCGTACCCGTACCCAGCCGGGTACGGGTAGCCGGATATCGGGTAGGGTACGGGTATCGGGTAGGGTACGGGTATCGGGTACCCGATTGCGACCTCTGATTGCAGGCCACAGCCGTCCCCCTAAGGGGGTACAACGGCCCAATCGGGGCGACCGACCGGGGCACCGCGCTTTGGAGTGCCCCACCCTTCGGTGTCAGATGTCATTTGCCCCAGGGCCCCGTACCCCCCCCAGCTACCAGCTATGGACGACCCTGTCGCAGGCAGCCACAAGCAGCACCGTAGCCACCACCGCCCATTGGTGGTGGTGTTTGTGGTTGTCGTGATTGTGGTGGTCGTGATAGTGGGTGGTCGTGGTGGTGGTGGTGATGGTTATAAACATTCAGGCTGGCCTGCCTACGATCCAGGGCTGGATTGTGTGAGGAGCTCACAAATCCTTGAAGGATCTGGACAAAGTCCCATTGGTGAGACCACTCCGGCAGGCAAGGCTGCGTTGGCTGTGTCATGTAGCCCGCATGCCAAGCCACTGCACGCCTAAACAGCTTCTGTTCGGCCGGATAGAGGGCACTACATGGTAGCGGTACGGGCTAGAGAAGAGATGGAGTGTTGTGGTACAGGAGGACGTGGACTTGCCGATGACCGGTACCAGTGGTGTCAAGATCGGCCTCTGTGGAGGAGGCTCGTGAAGGACGCTACTGGGCAGTTGGAGGCAGTCGCCCTCCAACAACAACGGAGGGCGGAGGAGAGACGCTCACAACAACGAGCGGAGCGCCGGGCGGCTAAAACACAGCGAGTTGGCACAGTAGGGGGGGCACAGGTGGTGCATCAGCCACTCGTCTCAGTCAGTCGACCCGTGGCACCTGCTGGGTCTGCCCCGTGACCTCCTGCCAGCGGGCGTTCGACGCTTCCCGTGGCCTTAACGTACACACAGCCTGGCAAAAGGTGACGTCACCGCCACTTAGTGGCGGTTGTTGGCGATGGTGGTGGTGTTTGCTGCACGTACGTACGGTGGACTTCTTTCGCACCGTACGTAGCCAGCCGTTGCTACAGCAAACCTGGACGGGCGGCCACCCCTCCCCAATTGAAGCATCTTGTTGGTTCCGTCTCGCTGCCACAGTCGTGTGGCCTGCCGTGACCCTAAACGCTGCATTAGCATGTCAGCATTTGCACGATCACCAAAAGCGTCACCGACAGCCTCATCGGCGCTCGCGCGTGCAGGGGAACGACGT